ATAGCGCGCGAGGGCGGCGAAGGCGCAGGCGCATGCCGATGCGCGGAAGGAATAGGCGAGGGAAACGGCACGCACGCGCGGGTTGCAGACAGCGAAAGTGAGGCACGCGCAGTGGCGCGCGATTGGCAGGCAAACGCGAGAGACCTAGTCCGCGTGGGGCTAGGCGGGACCGAAGCGATGGGCGCACACGCGCAGAGAGAGGGCGGCACAGGTGAGGCGCGCGCGATAGCGCGCGCGTGTGCGGAGGACGCGGGCGAGACATAAGAGGTGGCCGAAGTTTAATTAGGAGCATTCTAGAATTGCTTGGTGTGCAAGCCAAGCAATAGTTATTTGGTAGCTTTAGGATTTTATTGCTTTCTAGAGTTAGGATTTCTATTCTTGCAATATTTAGGAGATCTAGTATAGTTAGGCTTAGATTTATTTTGCAACTATAAATACCCCATGTACCTCATCATATTTAGATGTCTTGAATTGAGTATTGAATTGGTGAGCCAATCTTGAGGGGGAACTGATGTTCTTAACGTATGTCTAAACAAGGCCGTTAGTACGTGTTTACATACAGTGTCGGAGAGAAGGCCATTAGAGCATCTTGAAGTCACGGTGTCTAGGAGAAGGCCGTAGTGCGTCTGTTAGATACGTCTATCGTGGATAAACGAAGGCCCTAGTGCACATTTATTCACAACCCAAGTATAGGTAAGTACACGATCCGTATCATTGGTGCTTTCATTGAGAGGGGCTGATCGTGTTTTTTATCTATGCTATCTTTTATTTTTTTCGGTTTGCCTTTTGCTGAGTGGCCGAATTTCTCTTTATTTTTGATGGGGTTCGAATTTTCCCTTTTTATTTTCGAATTTTAGTCTTAAATAAAAGTGTCATCTTGTTAGTCCTTTGTTTGATTTTTTTGTTCGGTTATTACCTTTTGTTGAGGGGCCGAATTTCTTTTTGTTCAATTTTTTTTCGAATTTTTCCCTATTTATTTTTTCGATTTTTATAGAGTCTTAAAAAAAAATGTCTTACCCGCCATTGGATGAGTTAGATTGGGAAGCAACATATCTTGATGAGCTTCATGAGCGAAGGAATATTGAATAATACGAGCGTCAGCTCATGGAAGCCCGAGAGGCAATGGTGATCGATGCTCATGACCATGAAGATGAAGGAGAGCTGAATTTTTTGATCCTTGAGGACAAGGAAAATCTTGAAGAGGAGGGGAATGATACAGAAGTGGTCATCAACCCAGGCGAGTCGGAGGGTGAAGGTGGCGATGGTCTCGATATTTGGCTAGAAAATATGTTGGAGGAGCCATCTAGCCCGATTTACCGGCAATCATGTGTACGGGATTGGCCAAAAGGATGTGGTCCACAAGCTAAACTTAAGCCTAGGAGACGCAAGACCAAAAGAACTCGAAGGAAAGGCAAGGCGAAGGCTAAAGAAGAGAAGTGTTGGTGTAAGCCTTGTGCTAGAAAAAGGCGAGTTCGCAAGAAGGTGGCTCGAAGGGGAGGTATGGGTAGAATGGAGGATGGTTGGATTTGGCGAGCGGGTGATTGTATTGGGTTTGATGGATGGGACCCATGGCCATCGGGCGAGCCAACGGGGGCAAGCAACAAAGGGGTCGAGGAGGATCGGCTATCAGGCATATGGCGCGCATCGGGCCATGATGCGCGCGAAAGGGTGAGGCACACAACGTCGGGTGTACGCGGAGGCGGAGTAGAGGATCAAAGCACGGAGGTTGATTCGGACGCGTTGGCGTTTGGTGGCGAGATGACTGGGAACACGGGGTGTGCGAAGGGAGCACACGCGGATGAAGACCTAGGCCTAGGAGGCCTAGGAAGGGTGGCAGCGCACGTGTGCGGAGAAGCCGGCAATGATGCAGGGCTCGCGGGCAGCCGCGAGTGGATGTACGCGGGCGGATGCCTAAGCCGTGTAGGCTTAGGCGTGACGGGCGATGCGCTGGCAGGAACAAGCCACGACCGCGTAGGCAAGGGAGTACGGGGCGATGACACACACGCGCAAGAGGATGGCAGCAGCAATGGGGAGCGGGTTGCGGACAGCGAAAGTGAGGCGCACGTAGTGGCGCGCGATTGGCAGGCAAACGCGAGAGACCTAGTCCGCGTGGGGCTAGGCGGGACCGAAGCAATGGGCGCACACGCGCAAAGGGAGGGCGGCGCAGGTGAGGCGCGCGTGATGACGGATCAATCTTCTGTCTATACGATGGTTGTGAATAAACGTGCTCTGGGCCTTCGTTTATCCACGATAGACGTGTCTAACAGACGCACTGCGGCCTTCTCCTAGACACCGTGACTTTAAGACGCACTAATGGCCTTCTTTCCGACACTGTATGTAAACACGCACTAACGGCCTTGTTTATCACACGTTAAGAACATCAGTTCCCCCTAGAGATTGGCTCACCAATTCAATACTTCATTCAAGACATCTGAAATAATGATGAGGTACATGGGGTATTTATAGGTACCAACTATCTCTAATGCTAATCTTACTAGGAAACTAATAAAACAATTAAATATTAAATCCTAAGGCTAGTAAATATCCTACTACCATAAATTCCTAAATCTAGTAGATCTCCTAATGTCTTTACTTGCACACCAAGTACTTCTAGAAGCTTGAGTCTTGCGCATGTCCAAGTCACCGCCTCTACGCGTCGCCCTCGGCTATCCTATTCCTTGGTGCGCGAGGCATCGCGCGCCTTGCCTGCCTGGCACGTGCATGCCCCTGCCTTGCCTATTCCAGCGTGGACTAGGCTTTGTCCGTCTGCCTCGCATGCCATTCCTATTCCTTGTAGGACTATGCTTCGAACCCATATCCACTATTCCTATTCCTACTAGGAATAGGCTCTCGGTTACGTTTCCTGATCTTCCGAGGATTACTCCCGTAACCAATCTCCCACGCGCATTCTGGCACTTAACTGCTATTTCTATTCCTGCGAGGATTAGTATTCGCGCCTTGCCTATTCCTACGAGGATTAGGCATGCAGCCTCGTTCCTGCATTGTGCCTCGCGCGTGTCGCTGTGCGCCCCGTACTCGTCGTCCAGCACTCCTATGCCTACGCAGTATAGGCCATCGCCCGCGTCGCACTCGTGCGCCCATGCGCACGCCCCGTCCCAGCTGGCTTCTTTGCGCGTGTGTTGCCGCGCCAATCCTAGGCCTTCACCTGCGTACACGCTACTCGTACGCCCAGCGCGATCCGCACGTTCGTCGCCTACTGCTCCGCGCATACCACCAACGCCCGCGGCCTGCTCGCCTACCGCGCACCCCCGTGCGCCCAGCGCTGCCCCTCGTTCATCCCACGCCCAAGGCGCGCCATCGCTTGTAGCCCCGTTGCGCCATGCGCGTCTACGCCAATGTGCGTATTCTCGCTCTTTTCTGATACGCCCTTTCTTGTGCCCGAATGTTACCTGCCTATGGACCATCTCGTCGTCGGGGCTCGAAACCCACTTCCGCATCATTCCCGCCCCCTTTGAGAATGTCCTTGTCCTCAAGGACTCATCCTTGACCATCCAAACTTCGGGCACTCCTTTTTCGACCATACGCGTATCCACACCATACTGTGCGTACGCCTTCTCATCATGGCCGCTTCGACCGCGACCAACATCTCCTCTCCGACTGCGAGCACTTCGGATCCTCCGTTCACGACCTCGATGTGTTGCGCGCGCTGTTCCCACGCGCACGTTTTGCACCTATCACCCACGACAAAGATCGCACCAATGACCTCGGCCCCTTCGACTCCTTCGGCCTCGCCGTCGATGTGCGCCGCTTCACCCTGATGACAGATCGATCTTCTGTCTATACGATGGTTGTGAATAAACGTGCTCTGGGCCTTCGTTTATCCACGATAGACGTGTCTAACAGACGCACTGCGGCCTTCTCTTAGACACCGTGACTTCAAGACGCACTAATGGCCTTCTTTCCGATACTGTATGTAAACACGCACTAACGGCCTTGTTTATCACACGTTAAGAACATCAGTTCCCCCTCAAGATTGGATCACCAGTTCAATACTTCATTCCAGACATCTTTTAATGATGAGGTACATGGGGTATTTATAGTTGCAGAATAAATCTAAGCCTAATAGATTTAGATCTCCTATTCTATGCAATAAAATAAATCTTAACTCTAGAAAGCAATAAAATCCTAAAGCTACCAAATAACTATTGCTTGGCTTACACACCAAGCAAATCTAGAATGCTCCTAATTAAACTTCGGCCGCCTCACGCACTTTCGCCAAACGCGTCGCACGCGTCACCCGTGCGCCGCCCCTCGTGCTCTTCTAGTCCTTCGGCAATTAGGCTTCGCGCGCGCCCTTCACACGCACACGCCAATGTGCGCGCTTCGCTCGTGTCGTCCGTCCCGCGTGCGTGTCCTTCACCTCTTGGCACTCCTACGCCCATTAGGATTGGGTCGCCCGTGCTTGTGCCCCATTCTCGCGTTCTCGCGCGCACTTTGCCTTTGCCGTCTTTCTCGCGCGTGTCTGCGCCCAGCATTCCTACGCCTGCGCGGATTGGGTCATCCGCGTTTGTCCCGCACTTGCACGCTGTCGCGCGCCCATCGTCGTTGCCGCCTACATCCCGCGCATCCTCGCCACTCCCGCGAGTGCCGCGCACGCCAACCATCTCGTCATCATCATCGTGCCTCGCGGTCTCGCCGATTTCCTCGCCCGCGTACGTCCACCCGCTACTGCCCCCAAGCCCCGCGCCACCGCCGGCTTCCTCGTACGCGTGTGCTGCCTTTACGCGACTCGTGCACCCCATCTCCTTGCCGCCAAATGCTAACGCATCCCAATCAACCTCCGTGGCTTGGTCCTCCGACCTTATGCGCGCATCAAGGCACGATGCGCGTTCCTTGCTCGTGCTCGCACCCTCGTCGCCAACCGACTCCGGCTGCTTGCCCGATGGCCATGGATCCCATCCATCCAACCCAATTCAGTCACCAGCTCTCCAAATCCAACCATCCATCATTCTACTCTTACCTCCCCTTCGAGCTACCATCTTGCGAACTCGCCTTTTCCTCGCACAAGGCTTGCACCAACACTTCTCTTCTTTAGCCTTTGCCTTGTGTTGCCTTCGAGTTCTTTTGTTCATGCGCCCCCTAGGCTTGAGCTTAGCTCGTGGACCACATCCTTTTGGCCAGTCCCTCTTGCATGAAGGTCGATAAATCGGCCTTGATGGCTCTTCCAACATGTTCTCTAACCACAAAACAAGACCATCATCACCTTCATCGTTGGACTCACCGGGGTTGATGACCACTTCCGTATCACACCCTCTTCGCCCACGAGCAAGATCTCTTCCTCGCTGATCTTGAGTTGTCTTTCATACTCCTCCTTTTGCTCGTACATCTCTTCCAAATAATCTTTCTCCCAAGGGGTTAATTTCCTCTCCAAATTTTCGAGATATTCGAGATCCTCTTGATCCCACTCAACTAATGGCTCGAACAACATTTTTTTTTCTTTTTTTTTTGAATCTTAAAATTCGAATAAAAATGGGGGAAAAATTCGAAAATTCGAACCCCCAAAAAGACTCAAAAAAGAAATTCGGCCACTCAACAAAAGGTAATAACCGAACAAAAAAACAAAGGACTAACAAGATGACACTTTTTTTTTAATGAAAATTTCGAATAAATTCGAAAATTTCGACACAGAATAAAAGAGAAATTCGGTCCCTCAGCAAAAGGCAAACCGAAAAAAATAAAAAGATAGGATAGACAAAAATCAATCAGCACCTCTCAACGAAAGCACCAATGATGACGGATCGATCTTCTTCCAATACGATGGTTGTGAATAAACGAGCTCTGGGCCTTCGTTTATCCACGATAGACGTGTCTAACAGACGCACTGCGGCCTTCTCCTAGACACCGTGACTTCAAGACGCACTAATGGCCTTCTTTCCGACACTGTATGTAAACACGCACTAACGGCCTTGTTTATCACACGTTAAGAACATCAGTTCCCCCTCAATATTGGCTCACCAATTCAATACTTCATTCAAGACATCTGAAATAATGATGAGGTACATGGGGTATTTATAGGTACCAACTATCTCAAAGGCTAATCCTACTAGGAAACTAATAAAACAGTTAAATATTAAATCCTAAGGCTAGTAAATATCCTACTACCATAAATTCCTAAATCTAGTAGATCTCCTAATGTCTTGACTTGCACACCAAGTACTTCTAGAAGCTTTAGTCTTGCGCATGTCCAAGTCATCGCCTTTACGCGCGCTGCCCTCAGCTATCCTATTCCTTGGCGCGCGAGGCATCGCGCGCCTTGCCTGCCTGGCACGTGCATGCCCCTGCCTTGCCTATTCCAGCGTGGACTAGGCTTTGTACGTCTGTCTCGCATGCCATTCCTATTCCTTGTAGGACTATGCTTCGAACCCATATCCACTATTCCTATTCCTACTAGGAATAGGCTCTCGGTTACGTTTCCTGATCTTCCGAGGATTA